TAAGATATAAGATATAAGATATAAGATATAAGATATAAGATATAAGATATAAGATGTAAGATATGAGATATTCTTATTCCAGGATATCTAATCTGGCTCATATTTCCATTCATAAACGAAATGACTCAATTAGCTAATGCGGCTTGAGTTATTCTCGCGCTCTGCTGAATCTATTTTCGCAGCAGTTAATCGCGACGCAGATTCTATAGAATATTTATAAATGAAATTTCCATAAGTGCTTTCAGTGCCATGCATTCATTCACATTCACAGCAAAGCTCTGCCCTGAGATTTCCTATGCCGTGAATCATGTCTGTGGGTTGATCTTGAATTGCGTTGCGGAACTTTGACACAAACAAATAAATATCTATATATGTATATATATACATATATGTATGTATGTACGTATGCATCTATCTAAGCGCTACGGTTGACCAAGTTTGTTACTGCTGCTTGCTAAAAGCTTTACCATTGCCCTCTGCCTGGCCACCTCTCTCTCTCTCTCTCTCTCTCTCATTCACTCAGAGACATTTGCTCTCTCATTAGCGAGCAAAACAAATACATTACTAGAATACTCGCTTCAAAATATTTACATATGCGTAAGTGGGCGGCTCTCTCATCTGCATGTGGGTGTGCCTGCCTTCCTCTCTCTATATCAGTGTTCTTCTCTCTCTCTCTCTCGGTCTCTCTCTCTCCCTCTCTATGTGTTTGTGTAGGGTCCGTCCGCGTCACCACGTGCAGCCAGCAAAGCCAAATCGCGTCGGCAAAAAGCTCATCGTCTACGTCACCGACGCTCGGGCCAGAGGTGGCCCGAATGGAGCTTTTGGACGCCTACAAAAACCAACCCCAAAGCGAAAGCCGCTTTGCAAATCAGTCGCAAAAAGTCCGTCGCCAGAACGCAAAAAATAAATAAAACCGAGAACTGAACGCTGCTAGAAGAATTCGAGAGAAAAACAGACCGCTAAATATATATATATATATATGTATATATGTATATAAAATATAGATATATACATATATACATATATATATATATAAATAAGAAATTAAATTGAAATTAAAAGTATAATATATTCACTATTTAATTGAGTTGTTCAATTCGAATTTGGCAAACACACGCAAACATATATAGTACATATATAGCAATATATATATATATATTAATTTATCTTTATATATATATATATAAAAGAGTCTGAGACGTGTGTTTTCGTTAAGGTGCGTTTTGGTCCATTGCAATAATTGAATTCATTTTTTTCGAGTGTGTGCATTGATTTGTTGTCATTCGAAGCGAGTGCAGACTGTTGCTGTTGCTGTTAACGATTATCATCTATTATTTATATTTACTCAACACCTGAACACAAACAAACAGCGGAAGGTAGCCACAGCAACGCGCAGCGGGAGCAACGAACGACGCGCCGACCAGGAAACAGGACCAACAGCAGGAACAGCAGGAGCAGCAGGAACAGCAGGAGTAGGCAACGAGGCAGCTAACAAGAAGGCCAACGCACACTCACACACTCCCAAACACACACACACACACAACAAACAGAGTAATTTACTAAGATGTCATGGAGATATGCGGTAAGTAAATTTCAAAGCAAAACATTTCAAACATTCAAGTGCAAACAGTTAAAAAAAAATTGCCAGGCACAACTCTGGCCATGATTAGGAGTCCTCAGCCTCAGCTGCAGGATGACCTTGAGCGCACACATTCATTGTGGCTGACCCAATTTGGAGGCTGTTGTTGTTGGTTGTTGCAAAGGCAAAGGCCATTTCCACCTAACCGTTGCCCACTTCACCTGTATATAAACTGCATAAATATATACATAAATGTGTGTGTGTGTTTGTGTTTGTTGGTGTGTGCCATTTTCCAGCTGGCAGCAGCCATTACCTTGTATGCAGAGCCTTGGCACACACCCAGGCCATCAAACGTGTGCTGCAGAACCCTTTAGCCCTCTCAGTCAGGCAAGGCCTCTCAAATGCAAATGCAAAGTTCAAGTGCCTTTACCACAATGCTTGACACACACACACACACACACACACACCCGCACACACATGCATACATTATGTATATACACATATATTTTTTTTTATATACGTCGTTAGTATTTCCAGCTAATACAAGCATTTCCCTTGCATTTGAAACTTGCCAAAAGTCTGAAATTAGATTTTCATTTTAATTTTAATTTTCATTTACATTTTTTTCCTTCTCAAATTATTGTGCTAGCGTATTTGCTTACAGTATTTTTTTAGTTACCTATAATTCCACTGAATCTGTTTCATTAGCTTACTTTAGAATTAAAACTTTGATCAGAAATCAAGCTGAGAGCTCAAGTTTAGCAAACCTCAGAATCGATTTATATCTATCGCATTTAGTATTTGTTTAGTATTTTAATAGGAGTTTGTCAGCAATGCTCTCAGAAGGTATTTTGACCTTCGTTTAGAACCTTGAAGACTTGATTAATCTCCTATATCCATGTATGTCTGATACATATGTATCAGAATTTTTAATTATAAATTGCTAAAGTTTCTTTATAATATTGTTTCAACTTATTTGTCCCAGATTAATTTTGCCTAAGCAAATTTTGTAAAGCAATGTTATTAAATAATAATTTAAATAAAACGTTAACTCCTTTACAATATTGTTTTAAAAAATTTGTTTGAGTACATTTAATCCAAAACGATTATTTAAAGCAATAATAAAAACAAGTTAAATTGCATATATTAGTAATTTCAATTAATCATTTCAAATTCTTTGTTTTTAAGAGAAATTATAAAATTTATTTTTTTACAAATTCTTAGTAATATATTTTAAAATATAATCGTGTCATTTTAGAATATGATATTTAATAGATACATGGATGATTAAAGTAAAATATATACTTATATTTTAAATCATGCTTCAAAGTTGAGCCATTTTAGATCTCTCTGCTTATTCGTGCGCTGATCTGTCTGACCTGACTTTCGTTCTCCTTTATAGAATATAAACACAGTGGAGTGCAAAGTCTATAAAAAACTGGCAAATCTTATATGCAGAGCTCGCTAAATGCTGTACATAGCTATGGATCGATTTCATTTCAAATTATCGATCATTTTTTTCCATTTTAATCGAAAATGATTCAAAATCAATATGCAGCTTCGACTTTTTGGACATATTACGCACTTTCCAAGAGCTATGGCTAATGTCAATTCAAATTGGCTGCTTCATAAGCGAAATACAGATCAGATAAGTTATCCAGGCAGCACAGGCTGCAAGGCTTGCCCTAGTCTAGCATAGTCGTGGCATCACTTGGTCTATTAGTCTTTCTCTTTAATTTACTTTTCTTTTTTCTCAACTCATAAAGAGCTAGAATAAATTTGTACATATATCTTCATATATCTTTGTGCATAGAAACTGTTCGAAATGTTGTGCCGTGCCAAAAATGTTTACCTGAAAGCAATCTCAACTACTCCATGCAGCTGGATGTGGGGCAATGTGTTATTCAATTACCCTGCCAATTTTGACAGCTCACTTGCCACGGACGGCCTGGGTCTTGGCTGCATTATAGCCACTGCAGCTATTGTGAGCTGACCCAAAAATAAAGTAAATAAAAAGAAGAGAAACGGATATATGTAATAGGCTTTTGGGGCTAAGCCTAAGCAGATTACTCATACGTCGCGTGGGCCAATTAACTTAATTACAAACGAAAATTGCTGTAAAAAAAGCAGAAAATTTCTATTACCAGAGAGGAAAGGAGAAGCCAGAAGGCAGCCGAATAAGGCTAATCCAACACACTCTCCCTCTCTCTCTCTCTTTCTCTGTCTCTTACGCACTCACACAGCGTGAATCAAACGTTTTGGCGTCGACTTGGAGTCGCAGCTATTGAACTTGAAAATAAAAGAGGCAGCCGAATGCAAAATTAATTAAATTGTGCGCGGGAGCAGAGGAAATCAGAATTTGCGTTTCGTTGGCCAGCGAAGCGAATGAAGATTTTGGCCAGGCGGCAAGGGGGCGCAGTGCCCCACCTTTTACAGGGGCGTGCACTTAATTGGGCAGCCGCTGGCTGCTTCCGTGTAATGTGCATTAAAAAGGCATCCAAAACACATAGAAAAAATGTGGAAAAAAAACCCATTATATATACACACAGATATATTTATGTATGTATGTGTAAAGCCCAATCGCTTTGGCTGAAATGTCAATGTCAGTGCTGCTTGTCAATGTTGTTGCTGTTGCTGTTGCTGTTGCTGTTGCTGTTGTTGTTGGCATTGTTGTTGGGCTGGCTTGGTTCAGTGTCAGGCGCTGAGCGCGCTAATTGAACGATCGATAGAGCGTTGTACATCTCCGCTCTGGCAGTATGTTCTATATATATACATACATACATACATAAACATCTATCTATATATGCACACATGTGTATAGTTATTGTATATCTGTCTATATATGGCCTATATACGTTTAACAATCATGTGGGCGCTCAATGTGGGCGTGTAGCATCGCCAACGGCCGTCGATTGGCAGCTGTTGCGCCTCATTGAGCAAAAGCGAAAGGCAAGCTGTCGAGCGGGCACTTAAAAGCGAATTGTTGTCGCTATTGTTGTTGCCCAAGCCATTGTCCAATTGAAATAGTAATAATAATAATAATAAGAATAACAAGAAAATACCAACAATTATCACCAAACATGTAATCAGTTAGACACAGTCATCGATAGCTCTAAAAGGGTAATTCGTATTCATTCAAGGTTCTACAAGTATTTTCCCAAGCCACAGCTATGGTGTGTACTCATTGTATTCAAAATACTCAAAGCATTCAAATGGTTTCAAAGATGTCAAAGGCATCTATCATGTCCATCAGATATTCACATTGTGTATTCTATAAAGTATTTCGAGTACTTGAAGCACTCAAATGCTCAAGATAGAGTTGTCTATTACAGTCTCTTGGCATTCACAGAGTATGCAGAGTGTTTCGAGTACGCTAATTATCGACATACTTAAGATTTCTCATGTCTATGGCATTCACATCGATTTGAGCTCAGCATAAAAATAGAATTGAGCTTTATATATTTTTTAAATTTATGAATAATAATCAGAAGAAACGATGAAGCTAAATATGAGGTAAAATTTGACATTTCTATTAGAAAAATTTTACAAGCAACTTATCAATTAATTTAAATAAATTTGTCTCAAAAAATTAATAAAAAATGTATGAATGATTTTCAAAAAAATTTTAATAAAGTAAAATATATATATATATATTTAAATTAAATGATATAAATATAAATATAATAAAAATAATTTTTATAGTGAGTTAAATAAATCAGAGAAAATATTATGCATATAAAAAAATTTAAGCATTAAAAGAAACTAAAAAATTAATAGCTATAAATAATTTTAATTTTGTATGTCATAATAAAAATAAAATAAATATAAATTGTGTAACAAAAAAAAAAAAAAAATAAAAATAAAAAAATAAATAAATAAAAATTAAAAAATGAAATAATAAAAATACAAATAAAAAACCCACTAATAAAAATTTAGATAAATAATGCAAATTTTCTTATAATAATAAAAAAAAAAAAACATTAAAAATTACTTTCAACCCACTATAAAAAAAAAAATATATATTTTTTTTTTTTTAAATATTATTGAAATTTTCAAACAGTTTTTGATTTAAATAATTTATTAGCAAACAATATCCCATCAATATTATAGAGAACAATCCCTGATATATATTATAGAGAACAATCCCTGATATATATATTGGTATTTGTATTACCTGTCAATGGCTGAACTAAAGTATAATTCATTAGCTAAATTCACAGACGTGTCACGTGCTCATCTCTAGCCTCAGCCATTCAATCATTTCAACGTCACCTTTCAAGCGCTCCCCATTTGGGGCGCCCTATTGGCCTTGATCAATGCATTTTATGCACAGAGATTGTTTAACAATAGCAACCACAACAACAACAGCAACAACAACAGCAAATAACTTGCTGAACAACAAATAGTAGATAATTTGATGAGCCGTTCCCTCTCTGTCCCCACTGTAGTCGCTCTCTCTCCCCTCTGCCTGAGCCGCATGCACACCTTAAATGGCAAATTTAAAAAAAAAAAGAAGAGCTACTGCGCATTAAATTTGCACAATTTTCATCAAGTTTTTCACATATTTTTCGTGTCGCTGACTCATTGAGCAAATGAGCGACACAAATTTTTATAGCTGCCAACTCTTGGCGGCTGTGATTCCCTGGCCGCAGCACGTGATGTCGCTTGACGCGGCGCATTAACAAATCTGGGTACAAATTTTTGAATAATTTTCATTGCCCTTCTGTTTGTTGACTTATTTATTATTTATTGCCTTTGGCTCGTCTTCGGACGGCCTGTTTAATCAATAAATTTTGTCTGCAAGCTTGCATGTCAATGCATTTTCGATTGTCCTTTTCTCGTTGCTTTCAGCTATGACGCTGCACTGTGGGCTGCAAACTGTCAAATTTTGGCATAAATCTGTTTATGTTTAGTTTGAAATGAGTAAGAGTCGGGAAAATGCTTTTGGGTAATGCGATTTTAAGCCGTAAAATAGATAATTAGCCCACTGTAGCGCTCTAGACTGCAGTTAGTTTAATATACGTGTTAGAATTCTTTATTCATTCTCTCTTTCTCTCTCTCTCTCTCTCTCTCTCTCTCTCTGCCTCTTCTCACTTGTAGCCCACTTTCCGAATTATTAGGCTAATGCCATTCGTCCATAGCCAAACATCTGAATATAGTATGCGCCTGGTTTTTCAGCATGCCAAGCGAATTTTCACACTTATTTAAGAATTTAAAAAAATCTTTTTTTGAGAATTTCCCATTCTGTGTGAAATAAGGCCAACAGTAAATGAAATGAACCATTTATATTCACGTACAAACGAATGCTGCAAAAGTGTTAAGCAGTTTCGTATATATATATATACATATGAATTGTAATACATGTATATATGTATGTCTATATATGTATAGATTCATTCAAATTGTTCTGAAAAGTGGAACAGCTATCTGGCTGATGATTATATGGGGAATTAGCTCGCTTGTATATGTCAAGTGGCGGCTAATTTATAGTTCAATTTAAAAAGCTTTTACAATATAAATGCGGAATATCGTTGGAGTATTGTATGAAATCATAAATGAATAAATATGTATATAATTTATGGACATGCATATATAGTCGAGTCTCGATGATTTGTATCGCGATAAATCGAGAAAAAAAAATCGTTCTCAATAATTCTCAATAATTTGCATTTCTGTATAAATCGAGATAAAACTGATCCCCTAGCCATTTCATACTATCGGGATTCTACTGTATATATGTATAACTGTAGATATACCTTCAATAGCTTTTTAATTGTAGATCCATTGGATGCTGATTAATATTCGATTCGAAGTAGCAGTTGTTTGAGTAATTCCTGAGCTCTAATTTAAAGTTGAGCTCATAGTTATATCTTTCTCCCTCTCTGACTATACTTCTCTCTCTACCTATATCTCTTGCTCCCACTCCCACTCCCTTTCTCTTCCTATTCGCATTATTAATTGCATTTACCATTTTTTTTAGCAGCACTACCTAGCACTACGAGTGATATAGGCCACTCAAGAGAATGTTTCTCGCATTACTTTCTAGTTTCAGAGTCGCATAAGAATCTCAGTTAATGGTTAGTCCAAAGGACCTGTTCATGCAGTTAGCCCTACCATAAAATTCATTTGGATTGATGGGGCCGGGCCAGACCAGGTGTCTGCTGTTGTCAGGTGGCACACACACACACACACACACACACACACTTACACACATTGCTTGGCCTCCCGAGAGCGTTGCAACAGTTTGCAGTTGCAGCAGTTGAGCAAGTGGTCAACGCTTGACCCGACCTGACACACTTTCTCGTTGGTGTGCAGGATGTGCTCGGTGTCAGAATGATGTCAGACTTGGGTTAAATGCTAGCCCACATCGATATGGCGGTACGGCGACCCACTGACTAATAGATGCAACAATGTGGCCATGCACGTGTCGCCTTGTTGTTGTAACTATCTCAATTTGCGACAGCAATCAACTATGCCACACACACAAACACACACACACACTCACACAGGCACGCACACAGGTGTGTCTATTAAAAGCGACACCTTGCATAGACACTCGGCTCGCGGCGCTGTGCCAATGAAACTGTACAGAAAATACGAAAACGAAATTCTAAATATAGGTGATTCGATTGACTGAGGCGACACAATGTTGATTGGGTTTCCATTTGTCTCTTAGGCACTGACTAAATCCAGCTAATTGCCTTGGCAAGCAAACGGCCTCAAGTCCCAGCAGCCGCCCCCATACCCCAGCCCCAATGACTCACGGCGTGGCAGAACAAAGAAATCGAAACACTTTGAATAGCACAATTTTTCGACTTTTGATAATATTTCCAAGCACTCGAAAGAATGTGTCGAAAATGCTCAGTGCTGTGCGTTTTGCGTGTATTTTTAGACATTATATACATATACATATGTACATATATGTATGTATGTATACATCATGTTGTTTGTGTTTACCGTAACAAGGTCAAGGCGTCGGCGGTGGCCAAAAGGCAAAGCCAACGGCAACGCCAACGCCAACGCCAACGCGTTGCACACCTCTCTCAGCACACCTGAAGGCGAGGAATGCCTTTGGTTTTCTCTCATCTTCCTGGCAACTCTTTCGCTCAGCCACCTGCAATTTGGCCTTAGTGAAACATTTTCTATATATATATTCTATATGTATGTATATGATCTATACGAAATTGACTTGAGTTTAGCTATTACTAGACTACTCTGTGGGCGGGCATTACGTACTTGGAGATTCATCACATTTAATATGTGCGAGGAATACTTTAGAGATCTCTGTTTATTTTAGCGGTTTTCGTGTTATTTCGCCTCTAATTATAGCTATAAATTATAGAATTTTCGCTGTATTCGTAATGCTCATTGAACAAGATTAATGTATTTCTGTGCTAAATTTAGCTACGCTTGTCACTCTTCAGTTCTCTTTTAAGTCTATAGCTGAATCAAATTTGAAATCCGTTTATAATTTTTCGATTTACAAACCGTGTTTGAAGTGAGCTTACCTAACCACTTGGGTGAGCTAATCTATAAGCTCACTATGGGTTAAGCTCTAAATATATATAAATAAGAAATAAATTATTATTCTATTCAATGTATTCAAAAGTCTTAAAAATATTGAATTTTTCACTTCTTGAATAGCTTTCAAATTATATTATTTTTTTTTTTTTTATATAATTTGAATATTATGTTATTTAAATTTATTATTTTTATATTATTTATAAAATATAATAAAAAATTTATTCATTTATTTTTTTTTAATTTTATAATTGAATGTAAAATATAAATAAAATATAGGAAACTATGGGCATTCTAAATTCAAAAGTCCTATATTGTAATTTATTGTTTTTAAATTTTAAAAATATATTTTCTTTTATTTGATAATTTAATAAAATGGAAAACATAAATAGTAAATTAATTTATCTGACATAATTTATAACATTATGAATTAAAAACTCCTAAAATATTTTAATTATCTGTTTTCATATTATGAAAAAACCTATTTTCATTTATCTGATAATTTAACAAAATGTGATCAAATCAAAGAAAAATAAATAAATGTAATATTCTATAATTTATAATATTGAAAGTAAAAAATTGTCCCTTATGTCGAGCTTTTTATACTCTTTTAAAGTATTCCATCAACTATCTCACGTTTTAAATGCTATTGTGAGTGTTTATCAGATTTTTTTTTTTTTTTGCTCTAAATGCAAGTTTTTATTTTGAAATGAAAATAAAATATAAAAAATGTTTATTTATGGTATATATGTATAAAGAACTTGAATATATTAAATAATATGAGTATTAGTATATCCAAACTATCTCTTATCGTGTTATTGATTATAGTTAAATATTATTTAAATAAGTATGCAACAAAAATTAAAATAACATAAAAAATTTGGTTTTATCTTTATGAAAATCCATTTAAAAGGCTATCAGAGCTGCTAGTTAAACGTTTTTTTAGCTGTCCCCAGTTCACATTCATAATACTATGTAGACCTTGAAATATATTTCTCTTAGGCTTTACCGTCTACTATAACCTAACTTTTATACGCTTATCAACACTATCTTACTTTTTTGTGGATAAATATATATTCTCCTCTTATACTATTTAAGATATACAAGAAATTTTCTTTTTGTAGGCCTCAACCCATCTATATATACGTTACCTTGACTATTATTAATTTTTTTAGACTACTTTGATTATTTTTGATTTAGTTTTTTTCCTCTTGATCTTCATCGATTGTTTTGCAGCTACTCACCGACAGATACAGCAGCAGCATTGGCGATAGATATAGTCCGCACTATTATCAGGTTTGTTTTTGCCAGCGATCCATAGCGCAAAGCATGCTGTCCAGTGTTGTGAAATGTCGTTTGTTATGTGCATACATGTGCGTGTGTGTGTGTGTGCTTGTGTGTGTGCAACACACTTGCTTTGGCCAACTAAAAAATTCCCATTAAGATGCTTGCAACTACATTTTGCCAATAACAACAAAAGCAATACATATACATACATATACATATATATATTTATAGAGAGAGAGGCCTTGGCCACATCTAACTGAAGATAAATATTCCATAGACTCATAGCTATTGCGGTGCTGGCCATAAATCTTCTAGTCGAACATATAAAATGTTCAAATGTTGTGTATAAATAAGCGTCTAACATAGGCAAATGTATCTATTAAAGAATATATATATATATATACATATGTATATTGTGCATATATGTATGTATTTATGTGTATGCCAAAGATCAGTCACAATAGATCAAAATCAAGCAGAAAAGTGAAAGAACTTTTGCTCTGATGATTTTCGCTTTTGCTTTTGGCTTCTGTCTGTCTTCGGCTCAGGGTCGAATGCCACGACAAAAAGTAAAAGTTTTCATACGAAACGTGGACCAGCCCCAATCGCACTCCTCCATTCTCTTCTCTCGCCCCCCTCTCTCTCTCTCTTGCTTGTTTAACTGTCACTAACAGTTCCTGAACCCCCACCCCGCCCGCTGCTTGTGGGCGCCTTGCTGTCGCTGATTTTATTTGAATATGTTATGACAAAGCAGACAACCGATAAGCAAAACTAAACTAAACTAAACTAAACTAAAAAAAAAGAAAACAGAATGGCAAAAATATAATATATATCTATATAAATATGTATATATGTATGTATATGTATGGGGGAAAACGAAAAGAAGGAAAAAGACTTTCACATTCACTTTTCCCATTGACTTTGGCGACTGTCCCTGAAATTGACAAACGAGCTCAACGCGCCAAGGACGAGGGCGGCTCGAAGCAGCCGCGACCTTCGCCTCTGCCATCCATTTTGCTTGGCCAGGCTCTGGCTCTTGCTCTGGCACACAAAGGGAGCCCAAAAGGCCCGCGCTGAACTTGATGCCCATAAATAATCTCCGCTGCCAAAACGCACACAAATTTACATATCAAAACAAATAAACTACAGATTCCAGATGAGCACAAATTATGCCTATCATACTTCATCATACTTGAGATCTGCTGAACAAATGTGCATGACATGCATGCTGAGATAACTGTACCACGAGCCCTCTACTAGAGATGCGAACGTATAGTTAAAGCTGAGTCTATATACATATGTTTATAGCTTAGCTATAGAGTTTTTCTGATTACAAAAACAAAAATATATCTAGTTGAATTGATTTAAATTTCTCAAAGTATTTCAAACATGTTTTTAACTAGAGTAAAGTTGGTTTTTAAATATTAGAAATTATTGATATAGTCTTGCTCAATTGGCTTCAGCGTAAGATTTTAACACTTACTAAATATTTTTCAGCTTCTTTGAATGAAAGGCGAATCTCTTAAAGTTTCAGATCTAGATTTATATGAAACTCACGCCAATTCGGGAGCTGCGCTTTATCCTTAACACAGTCTAACAATTGAGATTGATCTCTGCTCAGTCTCATTGAACTTCGCATGATAACTAATGCAAGCTTGGCTGATTTGAGTTTAATCTTTATGTGTTTGCTTGCAGTCGCCCAGCCGCCTGGAAACCTCGGAACAGACGACGGGTCGGCAGCTGCAGCGAGTCCTGCACTACTCAATGGCACCCTGCCGGACACTACCGGGCCTGAGGCGTGCCGAGTGCGCCATACACGATGTTGACTGTGATGAGGTCTATCCGGGCATTTACATAGGCGATGCGTAAGTCTCCCACTCTCTCTCTCTCTCTCTCTCTCTCTCTCTCTCTCGGAGCTCTCTCTTAATACTCTTTCTTCTGTTCTTTAGCGCGGCGGCCAAAAACAAAACCTATTTGCGCATGGCGGGCATCACACACGTGCTGAATGCGGCGGAGGGCTGTCGCTATGGCCAGGTGGACACGGGACACAGTTACTATCGGGATATGCCCAGCGTCAGGTGAGATCATGATCAGAATGGGTTACGTAGATTCGCATAACATGCCATGCCATAGTATAGCTTATTGATTTCTTTTTGCACTTTGTTTTATCACCTTAAAATCAATCGAAAAAAAATCAAAATTTTCTTTTTCTTTTTTTTATTTATTCCACCGCACACTCTCTCTCTGTATATATGTATCTTTCTACATCACTGTTCATGCACGCATCTATCATCCCTCACTCTGTGTGCTCCATTGTCGTTGTCGTTGTTGTTGTTCTCGTTGTGTGTGTCCAGACGTCAACATAAGGATTGCTTTTTTAGATATATGGGCTTCCCGATGATCGATGCGCCAACGACGGATATATCCCGTTACTTCTATGTGGCAGCCAAATTCATAGATAGCGCCATCAGCAGCGGCGGTGAGTAGCGGAACTAAGCGCAAGCAAACAATGCAAATTAGCTAAAGCTTCTCCTCTCTCTCTCGCTCGCTCTTTAGGCAAAATCCTGGTGCACTGCCTGGTGGGCATGTCACGTTCGGCCACCTGTGTCCTGGCCTATTTGATGATCTGCCGCAAAATGTCCGCCGTAGACGCAATACGCACGGTGCGCATGCGCCGTGAAATACGACCAAATGATGGCTTTCTGCAGCAGCTGGCCGATCTCGATATGGAGCTGAAACGCAAAAATCTTTACCCCTACTAATACTATAACAAAACCATTCAAAACTTATAAATAAAAGCAAGCCCAACACAACCAAAGATATATATATGTATATGTATATATATATATATACACAAACACACACACACACACACACACATAGTATATCTGTGTATATGCTATGCCTAGGCTAAGACAAACCGAATGCTGATGATTGGCTGAACTTAATAAATTGTTGTATTACTAAGAGTTATAAAAAAAAAATATTACAAAACACACACACACACACATACGCTGTAAGCAAATCTATGATTGAAGTATATATATGTATATAAGTATATATGTATATATATTAAATCTGTGGATATGGCTCAAGCGTATGCTAAACAGTTCTATACACACACACACACACACACATACTCGCCCAAATCATGATATGAATTGTGATTATATACATATATATATATCATACACATATATATATATATCATATATATATATATAGAACAAATCTGAATAAAAGTTGTTTTGCCTTTGGCAATTTGAAGATATATGTGCTATATGCGATAAGGGTGCAATAAACAAACACACACACACACTCACACACCTACCACTACACACACCTACAAGCGTTGTTCTAATATATTTCTAAAGATTAAACAAACAAAAAACTAACGACTTAACGGTAACTTGGTCTTCTGATATATAGAAAAGCTGTTGAAAACAAATTGTATAATCGTGAAATATATACATATATATATATATACGATACGACACGATCGTACTTACATTTAGTGAGTATCAAGTTACACTCACACACACACACACACATACACACACAGAGAGAGACACATGTATACCCCTTCCCCGTCGCTGCCTCCCTACCCATAGCACATAGCTGCGTAGGCATAGATCATGGATCTACAAATCTGACGTAACAATAATTTCAAGGCTCGAGCTGTCATCTGAATACCAGGCAATATATAGAGGAGAATCAAATATGGAAATTACAAAAAAAAAAAAGAAACAAATATTTAAAACTATGAACAAAAAAAAAAAAAAAAAAAAAAAAAAAAAAAAAAA